GTCGGGCAAAAGTGGGTATGCGAATTTTAAATATTACGTTGGCCATGATTTCAAACGGGTATTCGGCTAAATGTCAGTATGCTTTCTATGCTCACTTTAAATGCCTTACAATCCACAGTGTAAGGCTGTTTTAGTAGTGCTCGGGGAAAAAAGCAAAGCAGACAATTTACCGACTTGGGCTGTGTATGCCACATGCAGGAACGTTCATGAAGGATTCTTGTTTCCTTCCTTCCCTTGTTTCCAGCAACTCCAGGACATGAATCGGTGCGCTTTTGTATTCATGGGCCCCTCCGCTCTCCATCGAACTGATTAAGTTCCCGTTCGGGTTGATAATTAAAACTCCCGACTTAATTTACGCTGCGAGTCAGACGCACGGAACGCATTCGCCTAACGAGATGCAATTTATTCGTCGGCCAGCTGGAGGCCCGGCGCGCGCGCAAAAAAAGGCAACCGGTCGACGCGGTTTTTGCGGGCGGCGGTCGGGCCGCGCGGCTCGTGTCGGCCACGCCGCGGCCGGGCGCCGCGACAGGGCGGCGCTGATATACGCCCCCTGTTTCATTACCTGTCGGCGAGCCGCGTGAATTAGCGGCCGCAGCGGGGCGGCCGCGGCGCCGCGCCCTGGCGGCGCGGCGAGGCCCGGCCGCCGGCGCAGCGGGCGGCGCCGGAACGCGCCGGAGCGGGCCGGAACGAATGCGGCGCAGCGGGAGCAGGACGGAACGCAGGGCGCAACGGTTGGCTAGAGTATGCCGTCTGGCCGGCGGTCAGGGGTCCACAGCGGGCTGAAGCAGACACTGACACGGCGAACGCTGCCCTGAGAGTCGCGGCTTGAAGGATTCTGAGATACTCACGCCGCTTCGCTGGGACCATTCCTTCATTTCGCAAGTATTCGCTTCTCCGTTGCTGCTGGTGTGCTCCTAATTTGAAGCCGCCTACAGCGCCGTTTTAAGTGGCCGACCTCGCCGTCACTCCTTTGTTCCGCACGTCACGACTCACGCAGCCATGTGCCGAGCATGAGGGCAGACGGCCCCAGCCCCGGCCCAGGCCCAGCCCCGTTACCGGTGCGCCTAGCTTTGCTCGCGTGAGCGGCGCCCGGGTTGTCTCGCCCTCCGTGCGCTGCGTTTCCAGGCGTCCAGGCGCCGTCGGCGTCAGTCGGTACCTTGCATTGGTAAAGGGCGTATGTGCACTGTATACTGTGCACTAGCGATCGGCGGGTTACACTGTATACTGTGCACTAGCGATCGGCGGATGTGCACTGTATACTGTGCATTAGCGATCGACGGGTGTGTACGTTGCACTGGTGATTGGCGGATTTACCCTGTGCGTTGATCGACAGAGGTGTACTGTGCACTGGTGACCGGCGGGTGTACACAGTGCGCTGTGCGCTGTGCGCTGTGTGCTCGCGATTCCGAGTATAAATATTGCGTTCAATTAGTATTTCATCTATTATGTACATCATATTATATATCCATATCCATATATAGTTGTAACAGTAGTGTATGTCTATATATATATATATATATATATATATATATGCAGATAGAGGGAAAGAGAGAGAGAGAGAGAGAGAGAGAGAGAGAGAGAGAGATAGAGAGAGAGAGAGAGAGAGAGAGAGAGAGAGAGAGATATATATATATATATATATATATATATATATATATATATATATATCAGTAAATTTGTAATACTATCATAAGTGACAGTAATATATATCTATGTATAGATATATATATATATATATATATATATATATATATATATATATACCTATTGCAAAAACTTTATTACTAAAACTATTTCCACGCCCGGTGGGTGAATATTCTCACCTTGGATGGGCTATGTGGAAATCCAAAATTGGGTGCTTTACGGAAAAGACTCGCCTTTGAGCAAACGGAACAAAATAAGAATGTCCAGTAAGTTGCACGTCGCGACCCTCATCCATGGGGGCACAAGGCCAGTACTGTACTCGATGACGTCATGGTCTCGTCGGGTTTCGGGCGTCAGTGGTCTGGGAACGGTTGATGACGAAATCCTTTCCGGGTAACGACAGAACTAACACCAAACGACAAACACCTGGGCAGAACGGTCCGGTGCATGTTTGCCGACCGTGTCAAGCGTTCAGCCACGGCCCCCGCTCGGTGCCATTTGTAGGGTGCCCGGCACCGCACCTGATTGGATTAAGTTATGGCCTCGGTGAGCGAGCGCCACGCTATCGGCGAAGCGTTAAGTTCGTAAGAGCTGTTCGCGTTTTTTTTTTCTCGCCAGTTTTCTGCGTGAAACACGCGACACGATGCAACTTCGTCCCAAATCTTGCGCGCATGACAACGAAATTAGCGTCGCGTTCACAACTACTTTCGGCGCCGAGTTTGGGCGCGGCCCGACTGCCACCCCGTCGTCGGCCGCGACAGCAGGATCCGATTCCAGCAGCGTGGCTCCCGTTTCACGGGCCCCCGACTGCAGCGTCTCACGTGAGAACCTCACAGGCGATTAGCGTCCACGTGTCCTGCCGGGCGATCACGGCTGGTCGCCGAGCGGCCCACCCCGGTCGGCGGCACACGCTGCGCTCCGCAGGGACGCCTGTCCGCGTGGCTCGCCTCGACCGCTGGCTCAGAGCCGCCCTGCCCGGACACCGGCCGAGCGGCTAGCTGGCGGGAGCCCGGGGGGGGGGGGGGGGAGGGTGCGGCCTGGCTCATGCCGCGCCCGTTTAGCCGAAACAGGGCAGATCGCCCCCCCCCCCCCCCACTTCCCCAGACGAATCCTATTGTCTCGTCGCAGTGCGCTGTGCCGGCTCCGGCTGTAAATGGCGTGATTGTGGACATGGCGCGGAATGCCATCGCCTCTGCCCCACGGATGTGAGGTAATTTATTGTCGTTTATGGCCTTGTCTGTATATAATCACGTGACGAGGGTGTGTGTTGACCTTAGAGGCAGGGTCTTCAAGTTAGCAATTGCAATGCAAGTAGTCTGCAATGTAGGTAGTTTGCGCGAACTGTGACTCCATGCAGAGGCGACGCCAGCAGGGGGCCGAGGGGGGCGGGGGAGGAGGGGGGGGGAAGGGGAAGAGCAGCCGCCGCTTGCGATTTGCCGAGCGGGCAAACATGACTTTTTACTTCCTTCAAATTTTGGGAGGCCCATCGTACCGTCAGGAGGCCCAGATGACCGGCGTAAAATGTTTCATCAATAAACATCAAGCAAACATCTGCCTGACAGGAAGTCCTAGACAGCCAACATCAGGCCATGTTGTTCGACAGGAGGACCCAGATAATCCAAGGGCCCGTCAGATACAGATGAGGCCGTGAAATACACGAGAAGCTCCGCCGGCCCAAAGAGGCCTCGATTGGAAAGACCGGGGGCCCCACGAGTCCGAAAGGGGTTCCAGTGAATTATATTAATTAAGTACCTACCTTGCGGCTTTTGAAAAAATGGGTGAAATCAGAGGGGAACAATTTGGATCAAAACTGAAAGAGGAGGCCTAGGTCAGCGGAGGATGCCCCTAGATCTGCTTGCCTCCGTGGGAAAGCGTAGTTGGTGCGGCCTCCGCCGGCGTGCTATTCACCCACTCTGTAGGTACTGGCTGATGGGAGCGGTCAGCTGCAGCCGTGGCCGTCCCTGTACTGAAGCTGAAAGAAGCAGAACTTCCTTTTTTTGACCTTCCTTTCGGAAATCGGATCGACATTTTATACTGAATCCGTATTGTCTGTGTCCACTTCATGCATGCCGAAGTTTAGAGGTCAAATCCCTATGCCTGTGGCGCGGAAGCATGCACCTACCTACAGCACACACTTCACATGTCCAAACGCAACAAACGCCGTGTGTGCTTGGATGCACCGCATAGGCAGCACCGGTCCGTTGCGCCCCGTTCTGCTGTGCAGGTTTTGGCAGTTCGAGGACGGTCGCTTGTGACAACTGATGCAGAGTTGTGTCCGCATTTCCGCATCTGTTCAAAGGCGACCGCGGACCCCAGCTGCGACAGTCGTGACCGTATACCTGCTGTTTTGCCTTCTGGTCGCATGGGAAGGCTTGTATGGTCCCGTCTGGCGCAGGATGTCTGCAGACACGCAGGTGCACCGAAGCGCGTTCTGTGGAGCGTGCTGCCGTTAGTCGCATCTGTGCGCATTGTAACGTTACTAAGCTGGTCGGCATTGTTTTCCCGGGACGCATAGGAAGTAAGAGCACCGCTCCGGTCTGCAGGACAAGACGAGAGACTCAGACATGGATGAAGAGTGCTGAGAAAACCTCGTGTGACAAACCCAGTGAAATGAGCATTTTTCAATGGGAAAAGGCCGTCATTAAAAGGTTTTCATCAGCTGGTGAAGCTGCTACCATAGTTGTACGATCCCATTCTCCGACCGAGCTCAGGGATATGGGTGGACCTTATATTTTGGTGAATATTTGACCACAATAGCCATCTCGCTCCCACGACGAGGAGTCTGAATCACTAGAAAAACCACCAAAATCATTCAAACTGTAAAAACTCAAGCAGTGTAGGAAAACGTCTCCCTGAATCGCCATTGTGTGAAGCTTTTCTGCTCAGAGAGGCATGCAAAGCCAATGTTACCAGGTCGAACAAACTTGGAGATGAGTGTCTAAACTCCAGCAAAGGTCGGCAATTGGAGCCTGTGTCAGCGAACTGGCGCATGTCGCCCTCACAATCGATCGGTACACTCGCGGGATGCGGCGCGAAAGCAGCCACCCCACCGTCAAACAGATCTCCGCAAGCAGCAGCCGCCCACCACCGCACTGTTCGTCTCCCCGCGTGTGCGGACCCCAGCATCACTCGTATTCGTGCACGGCCTCTCGTGCATGTTGTTCCCGTCCCTCCACCTTCTTTCTCTTCAGGTGTGCACCCTACATCTCGCTGACTCGCTCACGCCCTCCGCCGGTGCGCGCTCCCGTCCCCGCCTCCCCAGAATGTCTCAGCTCCCCCCACTTCCCCAAGCACTCCTTGCGTCCCCTGCGTCCTCAGACCGCTCTCGTCTGACGCCGCCCGCTCCGCCTCTGCAGGGCTGGAGCCGACAGCTCGGGTGCAGCTACAGACGCCGCCGGACCCGGCCGACGTGCGGCCCGGCCAGGACGTGGTGCTGCGCTGCCGGGCCGACGGCTCCGGCGAGCTCGCCTACCACTGGTACCGCAACGGCGAGCGCCTGACGCGCGGGCCGCGGCTGGCGCTGCGCAACAACCGCCTCCAGCTGAGCGCCGCCGAACCGCGCGACGGCGGCGCCTACTCGTGCAGCGCGACAAACGCCGCTGGCACGGCGCGCAGCAACCAGTCGCTGCCGCTGGTGGTACCCAGTGAGTCGGCGGCGACGCTGGCGCGCGTCAGCGTCCAGAGACGGGGCTCGTGAGACGTCGGGGGGGGGGGGGGGAGGGGGGGGGGGGGGTCGACAGGCGGCGGCCGGTGGGAGACGTACCTTCGTTAAGGAAAATTATGTCGTGTACGGTATGCGGATCTCGCGACATTGGTGGCGATGCAAATATGTAAGCTGAGCTGTGGCACGGGTTCGATGCCTCTCATTGCCTCCGCCGTTGCGTGGCAATTGCCAGTGTGGCCCGCATCTCTGGAGCTGTGTGACCGGCTGCAGGACCTCCGTCGGTTTATCGCGGGCCTCAGGTTTCCCATCCCCCGGCGTTGTGCAGCGGGCCCTAGCGACGCCCGTCACCTCGCTCCCCGTGTTCCAGGTCAGAACGTGACTCGCCTCGTGCTGGCGCCGACCGCTCAGCTGGTGCGTCGCGGTGACCCGGCTCGCTTCGACTGCGCCTACGACCGAGCCGATGCCGTCAGCTGGTCGTTCGGGCAGCTGGGGCCGCTCGCCAATCACGGGTGCGTTCGGGCGCGGGCGAGGCGGCACGGGCCGCTGCTGGAGGCGGAGGGCCAGGCGCGGTGGCTAGAAGTAGCGGTGTTAGCGATGTTGGGGGGAAACCGAGTGACATTTTTTCGATCCGCTGGCGACAGTCAGACTTGAGAGGCTGCCGCTCCATTGACATGGCGGTCCATGCGCTGCTAGAAGGTCCGTTCATGAACTAATTCTATGTGAATGTCGTAACTGTTAAAGCGGTGCCTTAAACAGCTGCCCTGAGGCTTGTTGGTAACGACGATATTAATTAATTGTGCAACCTTCGGTCAATTTTTTTGCAGACTGAGTGTTCTGGTTCCCTTACAGCTCGCTTAACATTGTAATACGACACCCCATCATACTTGTTTCCACGTTAACTCCTTTTCTCATTATCCGAATATCCACTCGTGAAACTATCTACGACCGGCGTCAGCCAAATCCCCGGCAACGCCTCAGGGCGCCGGCGGCGCCCAAATGGCCGTCGCCGCAGGGCGTCCGTTGCGCCACGGTGTCATCTGAGCCCGGTGCTGTGCTCCATCACGGCCCGGGACGCCGGCGCGCTCCCGTTCGCCCATCCGTCGGAGCAATTGGGCTAATGGCGGCCGTCTCGTCCGTCCCATATGCCCGCCTGGTCGTCTTCCGCGTCCGCCGGCTCCCACCGACGCCGGCCGCCGACGGCGGCGCGTCGGCCGCCGGCGGTCGCAGAGGCCAAGGTCGTGCACGCTGGTAACGTCCCGTGACGGACGGCCCCTGCTGCCGGCAGGAGCTCGGCTGGTAACGAGTCGGGTGGGCTTCCAGAAGGCGGTGTTATTGGGCCGTGCTTAAAAACAGTGGACGAAAAGAAGGAAGGGGCAATTATGCTTTGGGAAGTGATCCTGTATGCTATATGAAGTGATTCTGTGTTCTTGTTGCGGTTTAGGTTCCCTGGCATTTTCCGATTTCTTGCTGACATTTTCACGCAGTTCCGTTCTTTTTGCGCTTAAAAAGGCCGCTCAGTATCTGTTAATGCGCTGCTACTCGGCTCCGGTCGTCGTGCGTTGGAGCCTTGAAGGCACGCCTACGCGTGCACAATGTATGCGCTATCAATGGGCGATGGTCATGGCACTCGCCGCGCGCGCAGTCCAGTGGTGGGCGCGCGCTGCACGCTGCACGCGTTCCGCCCTCGTCCAGTTACACCGCCTATTTCCCGCCAACCCGGCCGCTGCGCCACTCGGCTCGCTCCGGCACGCGCTGCCACCGGACACCCAGCCTTTCGCGCTGCAGCTGATTCACGACGAGCGGCGGCGGACGGCGCCGGTGTCATGCCATCACGCGCGCGGCGGCCGCTGCCGGCCAGCGCTGCCGCCGTCGCCGCCGCCGCGAGCTCAGGGGTCTGCGTGGCCGCTGGCCGCCTCGTGGCTCCGGCCCCGGCCGCGTTATGGGCCGTGTCCGGCAGGCGGCCTTCTGGGAACGGGCCAGCGGCATGACGAAAACCGCTGCCCGCCGGCCAGCAGGGGCTCGTTGTGGTGTATATGTGTCTCGTTGGACGGGTGGGCTGACCTCTGAGAGGAGGTCTGGAGGCGCAGCTGCACTGGTGGCAGCTGGACGGGTGGGCTGACCTCTGAGAGGAGGTCTGGAGGCGCAGCTGCACTGGTGGCAGCTGGACGGGTGGGTTGACCTCTGAGAGGAGGTCTGGAGGCGCAGCTGCACTGGTGGCAGCTGGACGGGTGGGCTGACCTCTGAGAGGAAGTCTGGAGGCACAGCTGCACTGGTGGCAGCTGGACGGGTGCGTCGACCTCTGAAAGTAGGTCTGGAGACGCAGCTGCACTGGTGGCAGCTGGACGGGTGCGTCGACGTCTGATAGTAGGTCTGGAGACGCAGCTGCACTGGTGGCAGCTGGACGGGTGCGTCGACCTCTGATAGTAGGTCTGGAGACGCAGCTGCACTGGTGGCAGCTGGACGGGTGCGTCGACCTCTGATAGTAGGTCTGGAGGCGCAGCTGAACTGGTGGCAGCTGGATGGGCCATCGGCAAGCCTTGGCCCTAAGGTTGTTGCTGTATCTGGTCAGACGGCTGTAAAGCATGGCGGCTTTAGCAGGCTCTTTTCCAGTCGGGGCGTTGTTAACAGGGAGCTGTGCATGTGCCATGCTCCCTGTTGATAACAGGGAACATTGCACATACGGCCAGCCAGAAGCATGAAAATGGAATATGCTTAGGTACATGTAAACCAGCTTGTATATGCACATACACTGCACATGAATGGGAAGACGGTGATGCTTTTCTTTAAATTGGCTGCAAGCAATATTTTGCGTTGCCAAAAGAGCGTAGATGATAAAAAGGCATTAGATGACGGTTAAGCACATTTCAGCATAAGTTAGCGCTACAGTTAGCTGATAAGTAAATTGTCCGTCTTGAACGTGCACGTATTGACGCAAGAGGCGGTGATCGTTCCTCTTAAACTTCTCCATGCCACATGAACAGCAAAAAAGCCCAAATCATAGCCAGTCAATGAACCCGAGGAAGACTTTTGGGGTTAACCGTGTGCATTCTTACTGCCGCAGCGGTCGCCGGTAAGCTTTGAAAGAGTCGTGCGGAGATCTTAGCCCCCACTCTGACAGCGTAACGCACGAGTGCAACTCTCCGCGGTCCGCATGTGCCTGCACCCCGGCCCGGCCGGTCGGAGAGCCTCCACGTGGAGCCAGCCGCCGGCCGCTCGCGCAATCCGCGCCGAGTGACAGCCAATCTGGCGGCGGTGTTTTGACGGCGGCCTCCGGAGCGAATCGCTAACAGAGGGCCGCGGCGAACACGCCGCCTGCAAGCTCGCCACGCGTCCGTCTGTTTACCACGCGGCCGAGGTCGTCCGACGACCTGCCGACGGCGGCGAGGCGCTGCGCGATCCCGGCGCTAAAGCGCTGTTTTGAGAAGTGTCCGACGGCACGGGCAGTTTGTCGGCCGGCTTCTGAGGCGCCGACACCCAGATGGCGCCGGCGTTCCGATGGCGGCCGTCGATCGGGGTCCATCCATCGACTGATTGCCCGCCGGCCGGCCGGGCGGCGCTGTCGCCTCGAGTAACAGCTCAGCGAGACGGCCGACCGCTCGCAACTTCTGTCGACGCCGGCGAAGTGCCGCGAAGTGCGACGGCGCCGCATTTGCCGCCGGAGATGAAATCAATCGGCGGCGCCTTCCGGCAGCTCGCCGCGAGGCTCGCGGGCTCTATTCCGGGGTCGTCGCCGCGTCGATATGGGGGTGAACTACCCGGAACGTAGCTCGCGGTGATGACATGGCCGCGCGCGCGAGATGGAGGTCGTTCGAGCTGCTGGAGCGGCGGAACGCTGTCCTGGTGGCCCGCTCCATGTTGCCTGAGGAGGGCTGGCGTCTGCGCGTCCAAATTGTGCCCAGGCGCGACGCTCCGCGAGAGGTGACGTTTGGAGATGATCCTCAGCAAGCTCAGAAGCATTGACGAGGAGGCCAGGCTCTTTTGAGCCTGGTCTTAAGTCTTTGTCTTAAGTCTTAAGCCTTCGCCAGGTATTGGCTGTAGTAACGGCATATTGAAATCACTCCAGGTGCTCCAATCAAACACTTCATGACTGTCGACTGCTGATGGCTTTTGATGACTTGTCAAGCTAGAGAAGCAGAAGGTTTGTAGTGTACGCTATGAACGTCTTCTCTCGAAGCTGAACCTGATGATGTACGTGAACAAATCAATTATGCTCTGACCTTAACATATTTACCCGCCTGTGATGGTGGTGAACCATCATCCCACGAGCCACGTGGTGAAGGATTCACAGCCCACCATTTCCCGCCGTGCCCGCTACACCAGGGCCAGTTGTTCCACCAGCTCCGTGCCATCGGTCACCAGACGAACCCTCGGTCACCCCGGCTCCGGGACAACCGTCGTCGGAGCCGCCCCCTCACCGCGCCGTCCCACCTCCGCAGGCGGTACTCGGTGCTGGCGAACAACAGCCTGCTGGTGCCGGCGGCCGGACCCGAGGACGAGGGCTGGTACCACTGCCTCGGCCTGCGCAACGGCGACGACCCGGTGCCGCAGCGGTACAGCGCGCA